CCAGAAATGGCCATTCCAGTCTCCCTTTGCTTTGTCGGATCCACTTCTTCGTTCAAATACATGTTATCGAAAACATGCACAACAGGTTTTTTGTACTCGTTTGCTAGAAACCCACGCCTCCTCTAGATAGTTGACTTAAGAAAATATATAGTTCAGTTTTAAAGTTCGTTAAAATTCGTAGAATTCAATATTATATCCATCGGTTACGTTCATTTCACACATCTCAACCCTTATCTGGTGATATAGATGCCCGCACTCTCTACCCCATTCTCTCCTGTTATTTATCCAGCCTTGCTTAAAAAAAGACCTGATGATTTTAAACTTATCCTCCAAATGTTCTCTTCAGCAGCCAGTGTTTCTTATGCTTATTTGGCTGATCTTATAATACAACTACACTTTGAAACAGTCAAACAATTTGCTGATTGCATTCTTGATGGGGTTGCTCATCCACTTTGCTCTTAATTTATGGCTGCGAAGACTGTCCGTACTATGCGCCGAAGCTTCCGACATATGACCTGCTGTACACTGGCATATCAGCACTCCGTACCCCCATTCCTAGCCCGCTAGCTCATGTGTAAATAAACGGAAATATAGAAATTGAGATTAGACCTGTCTTCATAACAGACGTGGATTTCATGTAAACCGCTAGAGTTTTCAGTATTTTATTAACTTGTCCTTTGGTCTCAGTGAATAGAGCCATTTTTTGGTGAAAATGTCGGAGGTTCACCTTCAAAATAAAGAGGATTTCTCTCTCTATCTCTTTTAAAAGTTTGTAACTGTAAGGTTTTTCAAGGCCTTGAAATGTCAATTCATAAAGCATCCTATGTGTGCATTTATTAAGGCTTCATATCAAGTATACAACATCGTCCACGTCCATCGGAAAATTGTATGAACAGAACATGACGTATTTCTAATAGCGTGAACAAATGTGTGATAGTATTTAAATGGAATGCATATATACCATGCAGTTTTGAAACCTAAAACACAAGTGCAACCTGCAGGCCGAATTGAAATTTATTAAGTAGTTAGTGTTTTAAAAAATTGCTTGTGAGTTAAAGGGAGTTCAAAGGCGTTTAGCTATACGTCCCATAATAAACTTGACTTGACTTGAATCAATTTATATTGATGGTAGACTTGCGCGGCATCCTCCTGTGGACGATCCTGCGAGTTAAGTTAGCGACTTCATCTCAAATGAGACAGTCCGCACCCACTGCGATCGTATCACGTGAATATCTCAGGCCATTCTAGAAAGGCGACTGAAGTGGTTTAGACACGTTCTCCGTCGTCCGCCCCACGAGCTTAGCTTTGCTGCCTCGAGCCGGCGCCGCAGCCCACCTGGAAACGGCGAAGAGGAAGGCAACTGAAGACTTAGCTCGACACCGTCCGTCAAGACATGGAAGCAGTTCTTGGACCTTCTCCGTCGCTGGATAAGAGACTGGGTGGAGCTTTCCAAATCCGCTGGCGCCAATCGTCACGCATGGAGAGGTACCGTTCGTGACATCATTGAAGCCGGC